AGAAATTATAAAAGAAATATATAAAAGAAAATTAAAAAGTTCATACTCACTGTTATTCCATATTTGGAAATAATAGTGTCAAATTTGAGACATGCCAAGTCAGCAGCATATGTATATTCATTCGAAGCATCACGAAGTAGTAGCATAAACATGACAGTTAAGGCATTGCTAAGAGGATCTATATATGTCAATGGACTGTAAAATGTATACTCGAATATAATGCGCTGACACGATAAATATTCATTTATTTTTCAGTCTATGATTGACTGATTAAATTTTATGTATACCTTATTTTTCTCAGTACTTTACCTGACAAAATCTATCCACAAATTGGCCTTAGGTACAAGAAATTCATCATCTTGTTTAAACCATAGTCTCATGAATGGAGTATCTTCAATAATTACTGGAAACTTGGTCACCTAATAGATAAGACAAAATAAGTATCTATACAAAATATAATTAACGGTTATTTAATATTTGTTAATTGTTAATTACATTCTCTGTTGGTTTTGTATCAAATCGTTTTGGTATAAATTCATTTTTTGGTGGCAACTGGAGATCTGGATTGTAACCAGCATTATTCCATTGATCAATTGTGTGTTTCGGTATTTTTTCTTTTTTAAATTTAGTACCATACCATTTTTCAGTTTCATTACATATACTTTCATATAATTGACCAATAACATGAATTCTTACTTTCTCAGGCACTAAATATTTCGTAATTGATTCAATTAAGTCAGGATCCCATGTCATGATAATGTTACCCACAACCAAAATTTCTTCCATTGGAAAATCTTGTACACGGGATACCAAGTGAATAACATATTGTTTTGGTGGCATTTTTTCCATGAATCGAAAATTCATTTCAGCAATGTCTTTATATTCCTTTAATAAGAAATAACTGTAAAGCTTGAGTAACTAAACGAGCTAATTTAAGATAAGTATGGTATGCAGATATATAGTAATTGGATAAATTAATTACACAATTAAGAACGATGTTTTAAGATATAAAATAAAATGATGTAATAAAATTTATATAAATCCATTAAAATTTGTTTACACCAATAAATATGCTCTCTTATACTGTGTAACTTCTATATAAACATTTGATTTATATCTTTAATATTTTACGAGGTAGTTGATTATACCACCATAGTGTAGACAATTTGTATATGTGTATATACATATACATTAATATACTTATGCAGTTTCATTAACTATATTGAATAGTAATTGTAATTTGTGTGTAATTACATTGTATATCCATTCAACGGGTCCATGTTTTTTTAACATATTAATGTATTGGAAAGTCAATAGAATGATATCATCAACATGCTGTATACCTTCCTCTGTTAAATCAGCAATAACGTTAAAGAAGTTAAAACCTCTGGCACTTTGTCGTTTGCCTGATATAACAGAATTACACCATCCTTTTGCTTTCAATGCAGATAGTAAAGACCCTTTTCCTTCATGTCCTAATAAATATCCTAGATAATGTGCTGGCTAAAAGAAAAGTATCGAAAATGAATTCTTATTAAATAATAGAGAGTAATCAAACATAAGTTAAATATGATTATTACCATAGATTTGTAATGTGCTCGTAAATCAGGCAAAGGAAATGTAATATTTAAACGTCTTGTGTTCCTTATTGGAACAATGTACCATTTGTGTTGGAAGTCCTCTTCAGTAAAAGGATGATCCAACCAAACAGGTATTTCAATGTCCTTATTTTTTACTTGCGAAAATAATTTTATTACCATTTCTTCAAGTTCATCTAAACTTTCTAAATATAAAATAAATTTTGTATAACCATCAATATTCTACTTTAATATACAATGTAAGTAAATAAGAACTTCCATTTAAAGTAATTCTACATTTTTTTTTCATCCCTCAAATAGAATAACAACGTGTATAAAATATTTGTCAACGAAATGAATAAGTAATAAGTCATTTCAGATGGAATTTTTTATTGATACACCTAACATAATATAAAGAACAATAATTGCTATATGTACTCACTAAATAAAATAAATTTCAATAAATAAACTTACCTTTCCCAAGTACACATAATGCCATTGCATTAGCTGAATAATAAGTTTCATGAAATTCAAGTAATTTTTCTCTTATATTTATGTTCTTTTGCTTTGGTATGATCTCCAGTGTTTGTTTATTTCCAGTACCAAATTTTGTGAAAGGATGACTTGGATTTGCAGATGATTTTTCCAACTGAATAGCACGCCATGTATCATTTGCGAGATTGGCTTCATGTTCCAAATGAACAGCATTTAATTCTAAGTCAGTTAAAGCTTCTGTAAAAAGTGGTGCTATAAAAAAATGGGCAAAACGATCTAATGCCCCTTCTAAGTTTTCTGAATGTATGCTGAAGTAATAATTTGTGTGATCCATGTTCGTTGCTGCATTGTATGAACCACCATGTTGTGATAAATATCTTTTATATTCATTTTTTTCTGGATATTTTTCGGTTCCTAAGAATAGCATATGTTCACAAAAATGTGCTAAACCTGGTAAATCATCAGGGTCATTTAAATAGCCTACAACAGTATTAAAATATTATTAAATTGATATCATGGATAA